CATCTTTATTTCACTCGCCGCCATTATTCTTCTGCCAACCCACCAACTTTATCTCGCCACCCTCCAAAATAAAAGTGCTTGTTCACCAAAATTACTTTGCCAACGTCCAACAATAAATCTCTTCGTCACCAAAATTCCCTTTTCATGTTGAACTTTCACTGCAATCTACTGTATCGAAGAAGGATGGATCTTTAAGGCTTTGTGTTGATTATCGTCGGCTTAACACGATCACCGTAAAGGATCATTTCCCATTGCCCCTTATTGATGAATTGGTGGATTCCATGGGTAGTGCACAATACCTTTCTACGTTGGATGCTGCATCCGGTTACTGGCAGGTGCCCATGCATGCAGATTCGATAAGGAAGACTGGTTTTGTTACTAAGTATGGTGTCTTTGATTGGTGCGTGTTGCCATTTGGATTGAGTACAGCTCCAGCAACTTTCCAATGATTGATGACTCGCATCTTGCAACCGTTATTGGGAAATGTGTGCAAGTATTCATCGACGACATCATTGTGTATTCAAGAACATTAGAGGAACATGTACAACATTTGGAGCGTGTATTTGGGATATGCAAGGAGGCGAATCTACGTATCAAGTTGGCGAAGTGTTCATTTGCAAGTGACAACGTGGAATACTTGGGTCATCAAATCACAAGACAAGGATTGAAACCAACAGACCGCAACGTTAAGAAGGTTTTGGATATGACAGCTCCAAAGAACAAGAGTGAGGTGCGATCCTTTTTGGGCATGGTGGGCTATTATCCAAGGTTTATTCCAGCTTTTGCGGAGAAGTCACATGCTATACAACAACTTACAAGGAACAAGGTGGATTTTATTTGGGGTGATGAGCAAGAAGCGGCATTCAAGGTGTTGAAGGAAGCGTTGGTGAATCCACCTGTATTGGCGTATCCTGATCCAACCAAGGTACAGATTTTGACAACCGATGCGTCTGGGAAAGGAATCGGTGCAATATCATCACAGTCAGCAGATGGGTCAAGCGATGGTGAACAGGTGATAGCTTATGCTTCTCGTGCATTGCGTGGTCCTGAGGTTCGATATGCGACAACTCATGTGGAAGCTTTGGCGATTGTGGCTGGCATGTATCAATTTCGGCATTATCTACGGGGACGCAAGTTTGTATTGTACACCGATCACTCCGCTTTGACATACATCTTGAACAACCCGTCACCAAGCCCGAAGGTATCAAGATGGTCAGCTGCAACCATTGAATATGACTTTGTGACTAAGCATCGAAAAGGCGAGAGCAATCCAGCGGACGCTTTGTCGCGGTTGGTGGGGTGAGGGAAGGAGCATATATATATATATATATATATATATATATATACAAAAAAAAGGGGAGAAAAAGGGAAGAGAACAAAAAAAAGTATCAAAACTGTCGTATTCAGAGGATCCACTCCCTATTATCATTCACACTCAGCATCACATCTATATACACGATACGTAACCACCCAAAATAAACCTTTGTCTTCTTTCTCTTTATCGAGTCTCACGGACACTTACTGTTACCAGTTCTCGCTTTACAGCTATCACACACACACACACACACACACACACACACACACACATCTCTATCTCCATATATCACAAAAAGGACACAAAAGGACAAAAAAAAGGAATATGATATAGAAGAGAAAGAAGTAAAAAAGAAAAGGAAAAACAGGTCAAAAGAACAAAAGGAACAAAAAAAAAGTATTACATGTATTATTGGAACCATTTTTATTATCATCTTTATCATCACACATTACATTCATCAAGCACATTATCGACATTACAAGTATCACAGCAACACACAAGCGATTATCATTCAAGCTATTATGGACTACGCACATTACTTGGCGCTATACTACTTTATCACCGAGGGAACTTATCCCCGAGACATGAATGACAACAAGCTAAGACGGCGTATCCGCAACAAGGCCGCAAAATACTTACCTTTCCGAGGCAAATTGTATCTCAAGAATAAAGAAGGCGATTTTGGACAAGAAGTTTTACATTCGGGCAATGTCATGGAAGTTATCAAGAAGGTGCACAGAGAAGGACACATGGGGATTAACAACACTTGGCGAAGGATGAGGGTACAGTATGAGGGTTATCAACTTTATGAGCGTGTACGTGAGTATGTGGAATCATGTGAGCAATGTCAACTACGAGCAAGGAGGCGGTATGTTCCACATGAGGAAGCACACCCGATACCTACACCATCAAGACCCTTTTACATGATTGGATGCGATGCCGTTGGACCTATTAATCCACCTAGCAAGAATGGGAACCGGTATTTGTTGGTAGCCGTTGACTATTTAACACGATGGCCTGTTGTGGCAGCGGTACCAAACATCAGCGAGAAGACTACGGCGTCCTTTTTGTTCAATTGCGTTGTCAAGGATTTTGGGGTGCCAACATACATATTAACTGATCGAGGTGCCAACTTCAAGTCCGATTACGTGCATAATTTTCTCAAGTGGATGGGTTGCAAGCCTTTGACTACGACTGCGTTTCGACCTCAAGTTAACGGATTATGTGAACGAATGAATCAGACTATTGTTGAGGTGCTATCAAAAGTGTGTCAGGATCAAGGTATGCTGCAACGTTGGGATGAGTGTTTGGCTTCGGCTGTACTTGCTATTCGCTCTACACCGAATGATGCTACCGGTTTCAGCCCTGCCATGCTTCTTTATGGTTATGATACTCGCACGCCTGCCACTTGGCCCGAACCGAGGAAGGATTACGTCGAGGGAAGATTAGCCGATGAGATTACAAGTCGTATCAAGGTCATCGATAACATTATGCAGCAACATCGCGAATTGTCTCGTCAACGTACACAACAAAAACAACAACAACGAAAGCAACGATATGATCAACACGTGGTGCATAAGCGTTTTCAAGTTGGTGATCAAGTATTGATGATGGACAAATATAAACCACAGAAGTTGGCAAATCGATGGATCGGACCGATGATTGTGATGCGTGTAAATCAACATGGAACGTATTGGTTGCAAGGACCTGGAGGCAAACGTTTGGATGGTGCGGTGAATGGGGATATGTTAAAGCGATGGAAATCGAAGGACAAGCTCATACCCGATGTTATTGCTCAACGTGCAGATCGACAGCTACAAGCGTATATTGAGCGTATACAACCTGGACAATGACAACACTCGGCTGAGAGGGGGAGAATGAGACGGCCGTAGTGGGGTAGTCAGCCTTCGAGTTGCCATTTTGAGTCGAGATTTGTTGTCAGCTGAAACATCATCATCATCATCCACTCGTTTAGCTGAGCGTAGTATTTAGAAGTATCGTTGAAAGAATTTGATAAAACCCTCGTCTTTATTGTCTTTAATCTTGGTTATTGGAAGGATTGTGATTGAGCAGTTGCGATCGCTTATTGAACTTGGATTTGAGCTGGAAGACTTCTTGACATTGCTGTTTTTGGAATACATCGACACTCTCGCTACAAGCACACTGCCCTACGTCTCAACCAACACGTATGTTATGTGCTAGTGCCTGTCGTAGACACAGCTTAATCATCATAACATGGTTCCCACAGCTGTCATTTAATTCTCCTTCTCATCTCATGTGTGTCACACCTACATTCTCCCACGCATAAATCTTATCCTATATGGCTGTCAGGTACATGGGCACAGACGCGTACGTAAGATTATGGGTATATCGAGAATACCATCATCGTTACTAATCATGGTGTGAGGTCGTGGGAGAATCAGGTTATAGCAGGATCAATCATTTAGCATAAAAGAGTGGACGTCTTCATTGAATAAAGGGTATCTTCAGTCTCACTTGACTTATCATTGTCTCGTTTTTTGTAATCTCATTCCATTTTATTCCACTCGATCACAGTGCCCATCATTCTAGCTTAGCATATGTATGGTCCCCGTTCGAGTCTCGGTAATATTTTACACAAACTCAGTAAATCTCTTTTTTTAAAAATGTCGCAGCATTTATCATGTGATCTTGGATCAACTACAACAACATCGTAACACATCATATACTTAGTACTACCTTTTATCATTTTGTATACAAGCACATATATATATCTTTAGCACACATGACAATAAAGGACATCTTCTCTTCCACATTCTAGTGATCTCTTATTTCTGGCCATTGGCTCACCAGCCAGACAAAAGAGTATCGACAAAAAACTTCACAGGTGTCTACAATGTTTCTTTAATATCTCATCAATGCAGTGGTCCATCGATACCGGGTAAAGTGCAAAATGATTGTTTTTTATAGCGTTTACATCGGAGATAAATGTTTGGATAATTGTGACTTGGAAAAGTTTTCTACATCGAATCTGAAAGGAATTGTACATTATAGTATATAGAATTGTGGAGTATATAATCTGATATAACAGCATAAATTTCTGTAGCCATCCAAAACTCCGCGAAATCATTCCCATCCATTACCACATGCGGACGACGTCGGTGTACCAAATTGGAGAGCAATCTATTAACTAGGTCAGGCGCTACAAGCAAAAATGGTCATTGTCCAACTTTTATTACAAAATAACCAATCGTTTTCATAGGCTCATCGCTCCCCAGCCACTATTGCAACATACATGTAAACTGGTTATTGCATAGATCGGAAGCACCTAAATACTATATATAAATTTC